ATACCGTGCCATCTTCTCAATGTACTTGATCTGATTCGCAAAGTCTGAGCCTGGAAAGTCGGCACTACTCATGTTGCCGTCACCATCAGACCACTGGAGCGGAAACTCGTAGTAAGGAAGCTCCTGAAACGACTCGCGGTTGTGTGTAACCTGGAAAGGAAGGTGGGTCAGGTGCGAATTGCCTGCGCATGAAGAACCGCCGATGATGCCGTTGGCGACGCAGTGGGTGGCCTGGTACTTACTCCACGCAAGGTTACCCGGACGGTAGGTGGTCATGTTGTAGCCAGTCTTGAACTCATCGTGAAGTATGTGTCGGATCAACCAAGCACTCACACGGACCTCCCCAGATGCGGAAGCACCTGATGTGTAGAAAGAGAGTCCACTGGTACCTCCCTTGGTGCAGACCTCTCCATTGGTGGGTGTACCGTCAGCATTGGGTCCGCACTGGTGAATGACCGGGTAATAACCGGCATCAGTTCCTTCGATGAACCGTTCCTGAAGCGTACCGTAATCGAAGCCCGCCGCATTGGGCGAGTGACTGACAGTGTGGCTACCAAAGTCGATGAACGGGTTTCCATCTGGGGCCGTTCGGAATCCACTGATCTGGTAGATGTAGGGAACGCCATACTGGAAGTACGCGGTCTCATAGGCGTCGGTGATATACTTGGTGTGAAGGTTCAAGTTGCCTGCGGCACCCCGGTCTTGTGCTGCGGCCGCAATACCCTGACCGTGGGGATAGGAAACGTAGGTGTCGATGTCCCAGGTAGTAGTGAAGGCAAGTCCTTTGTTGTACGGGACAGACCACAGGCTCACGAAATGAGGACTTGTGGTGACGATGTTTTTGATGACGCGAGTCCCGATGTCATATCCGGGGTAGTAGTGTCCGTCGTACCATGGCGAATACCCACCGGCCTCAGCTTGGGCCTGAATGTACAAGTATCCAAGGTCCATACCGAAGCTGTAAACGTATCCACTGGCGCCTGACGGCTGGTGCTTGACGATCGCTGCGCTGGTAGCGGATGTGTCTGCGCTGTCGACACCATCATTGCGGACCAGGTATTTGCCGAGCGTTTGAGAGCCGTTGATAGGTGTATAGCCAACATTGATCAGACCTGTCTCGGTGTAGTTTTCAAAGAATGGCATGTTGACATCGTAGTACTCGGTGAAGTCAAAACCTTGGAGAGCTTGCGCCGGTGTCTCAGTGTTCGTCAACTGCAGGACGGATCGAGCACCGCTCGTGTCTACGGTTGACGCAGAGACACCAGCAAGAGCCTGGAGAGCTGTAGGTACTTGGTTCATGAAGATTAGTCTTCCACCCTTCGCCACGAAAGAGGTCAAGGTCGTGACATCCGCAGAGCTCGGGCTGTAGCTCACGCTCGGAGAGGTGTAGATGAGTAGATTCCGGCATTGTGAAGAGATATTGAGCGACTGAATGACCTTGACTTGCAGACCGACTGTCTTGAGAGACAGTGTCAGAGGAAGCCTGGACTGGTGTTAACTTTTGCATATGCGCGTGTCTGGTGAGACGGGATTCACCAATTGGGGTCTGCTTTGTAGCTCGGTAGAAAAATGTTCAGCCCAGAGTCCGGTCCAGCTGCATGTCTATCATTGTCAAGTTAGTGAAGAGACATCATACCATGCGTTTGATCTTCTTACCTTGATTGCGATGGTACAGTAGCTGGCTGGCTATCTTCACCCAAATCTGGACTCGCACCCCCAGGCTGCGTGAGCTTGTAAATATCCGGCGAGCTGAAAGCCTGACATATCTGCAGTAGAGCAAACAACGGCAGAAGAAAGAATGAACGCATACTCGATGCTTCCCTTGGAAAGAGAGGGGTAAAATCCGCAGAGTAATGTAACAAAGAACAAAAAGAGCAGAACCCGACCTTTTGGTCAAAGTACCCAAATCGAGAAACCGACTAGAAGCACGGGAGAAATCGCCTTATCCGAGCCCGAATACCCAAATTGCTGGCCATGCTGGACTAAGGCCGCAAACTTCATCAGGGCGAAATCTGGGAGAAATTCGTCAACCTATCCACTTAGGGTTGTTCTAGCAGGGCACCAACAAGCGACTACGGCACCATGATCGCCGGTACCTGCGCTATTAGCATGCATCTAGGGTAGGAACTCGTGTTCATTGAGTTTGGCGTGGCACCCGAAGTCCGCACAGACGCTGCATCTCCATAAATAACGAGTTCTTCTTGTAGGCCGAGGCGCCGGTTTCAGATTTGGCAGCGGGAGCAATGATGATGCGTCGAAGCGTCATGGCGAAGAGGCGAACACGATCGGTTTGGTCGTGGTTGAGATACCCTTATGACAAAAAGGAGAGGTTGGGTAGAGTATTGACTGCTTGAGTAGCGCTGACTAGCACCGATGCGTACTTACGTCATTGTAGAACCTTCGCGCCCGAAAAAGGAAGTAACAGGCCTGGTTCCTGCTACATGTACATACGAACAAATCTTGAGATACGAGGTAGTTGCACTCGCTGCATTGCCACAGTCTAGCTGGAAGTCGAGAAGCTATGTCGAGGATGAAACGAGGGTACCGCATCGGCTCAGCCGGCTTCCCGATTTTCACGGGAGTCCAGGCCTGTGGATAGGACCGGGGCTCTGGAAGCTGCGCAGAAATACCATGTCTCGAACGCGATCTGGCAGCATCCTCGCGTCAGCACACATCAGTCGTTGTTACTGAAAGGTCGGGTCGTCGTCCCAGGTCTGCATGCTTTTCGGTACCTGGTACCTGTCTACCGAAGAAGCTGGGTCCAACATGTCAGTCGGCGAACTCAGTGTTAGATTGCTGCCTCATCAATATACAGCCCTTGATTGTTGGCGAAAGTCAATGGCGCAGTGTTCATGTCAGCACGAACTCTCGCAAGATTGTCGGAGCCTATCTGCACGTGATTCTTTATGAATGCCAAGCCGCCAGATGCGGGCGCGTCCTCGCGTGGCCCATCGCGTGTTCCGCCGCAACACTATGTCAACCCGGCGGGCAATACCAATGCAGTGCCACTTCTTAGCAGCTATGCATTAACGGAGCACATGCATCGGTGCGACTTAATACCTCGCATTCAGTCGACTTGGCTGCATATTGCGATCGCCAGGTACCCTTCGCTGATGTACTGAAAGCGCGACACTAACATTTTCGATAAAGTACGACCACAGCCACGACGATTGCCTACGATGAGTCGCAAACGAACCCACGACGAATGCCTTCGCACCCAACACTACTGCTAGCAACACTCTGTATATAACCTTGGAAGGCACGGCACAGGCTGTACATGCTACACCTCTTAGACGCTTCACCGACCGTACTTAGGAGGACTGGGACGAGGGTGTAGGACCATACACGATATTGATAGCATTTACTTTGGCAGAAGTCTCGGGTTGCCTCGACCGCTCATCCGCTTGCTCGCGCTTGAGACTGTTCTTCGGCGTCGATCTTCGAATTGGCCTACAGTGTCCCTGCGTCAGGAAAGGCCTTATCCAGCGGACCCTTCCAAGGTACTTCTTCATTATCACCCCGCAACCGGCACATATGTAGTAGGCTAGGCAGCCATAGCACGTTCAAAATATGGTGAGCTGGCCCAGTTCTGCATCGCAGGCGAGATCACAGGGGATCTTTAGGTCGAGGGCATGCAAAGCTCATGGCTCCAAGAAATACTAGCCAGTGCTGTGCGCGCTTCTAGAAGTGGACGCCATAACAGTATGCTGTCCAGTATGTTGTTTTGTATACTTTAGCGCAGTCCGCTTTCTATTCAGCCCAGGTCACGCCCATAATCGTGGCAACGCTGAGCCATTTCGCACATCCCACCGCTGGTGCGAACTGATCGAGGCGCAATTACGAGAGTAACCCTGTTATCTTCCTTTTGAAATCAGCACATCAGGTGTGCATGAACCCAAGATGAGACACAAGTGCAGCCATGTGCTACGGCCATGTTCTATCCACCCAGTGAGTTGAGTTTGATGATGGTTAGGCAATGCATGTGCTTTCTTTCATGACTGGCTGTTAGGCCAACAGGGTGCCGTGGAGCAACAGCGTATTCTCGGCGTGAGGATGAAAGCTGGAGCGACACGATGAAGACAGTCGTAAACTCTGAAGAATCGTTGCAGTCGAACATTTATCTCGCCCCTGCGATGGTGATCCAAAGAGCCGTGCGACCCAAGGCTGGTAGGGCTGAGGCGGCCGCACCAGTGCACAGGGCCATCGCGCTGAGAGTCCCTCGTCAAGGCTCCCGGCTGTGGGGGGGGGGGGGGGGGGGGGGGGGGGGGGGGGGGGGGGGGGGGGGGGGGGGGGGGGGGGGGGGGGGGGGGGGGGGGGGGGGGGAA